CTTTTCTTTCATATTCATTGAAAACTCTATTAAATTTTAATATAATATTTTAATTATAAAAACATTTTAATATATAATTTAGGTGCACGGCGGAGATGCCAGAGTAATTTCCTGTTTGATGGAACAACTAGGAACAGAGAGGATGACTGAAGCCTAGCGAAACGGCTTTAGTACAAATACAATATTTCGTCGCCAGGGATTTCAAACTTGATCCGCAATTATACAGAGCATGCAAATTTGATGCCGTGCGTTTGTGTCATGCGAGAAATGCATGGGCTAGCAACGGGAAACAGATGGATCCCGAGACTGGACCTCTGGTCTTACCATGCTTGTATCGACATGTGTATCAGAAAAATATGACAGTAAGACAGTTATTAAAATTATTAAATACATGATTAACTCTTAATTAAACTAGCTTAACTAATTTAGTTTTCAACCTAATTTAGTTATCATTTGATTAACACTTTATTATTATTATTGTAAAAAATTTATTTCTAATTGCTCCTTTTTTTAATATTCTGTTCAGTTGAAAGCGGATTGCTTGGAAGAGATTAGGAGAGTCATGAGGCAACGTGCTGTAAATGTCGACTTACAACCCGAGATAGAAGAAGTGTGTTTTAATGAATTGGCCTCTTTTTGTTATGACAAAACTGCGAAGGGAGAAGAGATTTTATGCTTACAAGATAATTTAGAGAAGTATTTATCCTAAAAATAGAAATTACGCATCTGAAAAAAATTATGTATTGCTCATTGTTGTGTATAATAAATGTATTGATAATTTTTATGTGTTAATTGCAGTTTGAAAGAAAAATGCAAGTTCGCAGTCGGAAATTTCACTGAGGAACAAGCTGAACGTGTTGAATTGAATCCCATAATTTCTTCTGCGTGTCAACATATTATGGAACGTCACTGTGAAGTATGTCTTAAATTATTGAATTTATCATGTCATTTTATTGTTATTGATGTTTGCGTGTTTTAGGAGGTATTAAAATATGGAAAAGATGAAGGAGATATGATGGAATGCCTCATTGAACACAAGAACGAGCTGGATTCACGTACCGATTATAAATGTAAAGCGGCTGTAGAACATTTCCAATTGATATCTTTGAAGAATTATCATTTTACGTATAAATTTAAAGAAGCGTGCAGGCCTTATGTCAAAAGATGGTGCCCTAAGTAATTCACACAATTTCTTGATATATGATATTATGATTAAATATTTTCTAACTTGCAAAACCAAATTATATAATACGTTCTAACAGATCAAAGACAAAAGCTGATGTAATAGAGTGCTTAAGTTCAATCGTGCAGGAGGACATAATGAAGGAATCGCAACATCGCGTGCTGAAGGAGTGCAGGCAACAGCTGCGAGCGCAACTTTATCAACAGCGAGAGAACATTCATTTCGATCCTGTTCTACAAGCGACCTGCTCAGCAGACATTAAACAATTTTGCTTTAACGTAGAACCAGGCAATTCACAGGTGGCGATATTAAATAATTCATTATTATTCTATATTTTAAAAATATTATTTAAATAATTTTTAAATATCCATTAATATATATAATAGGAGGTACCTGTTCTTTTTTCTATAAATTTTGTATTGCTAGGTATTTTTATTAAATGGCTACTCTTAGCAAATTCTATTCTACCATGTTACGACAAATCTTCATGAAACCTATATTGTTTTAGGTACTCGAGTGCTTGGCATCGCATAAAGTTAAACTATCGGACATGTGTCATAAGCAGCTGTTCAAGGTAAGGAAGCAAGAGTTTCAAGATAGCTCCAGCGATGTTCCTCTGTTAAATATCTGTCGTGCTATGATCAAACAATACTGCCACGATGTGAGCAAATCGCAAACTTTGGATTGTCTCAAGAGATATAAAGACGAAGTCACTTTTGATGATAAATGCAAAAATATTGTGGTTCGAAGAATGATCGAACAGAATACGGATTACAGGTTTAATACTGCACTGCAAAGTGCATGTGGCTATGATATCGACAAGCATTGTAAAGAGGTAAAAAAAGATTTATATTATAAATAATTTAATAATAACTTCACGAATATATATTATTTTAGGTTTTGATACACGAGCGCACTGACAAAGAACTTGAAGGGAAAGTAATCAGATGTTTGAAGATTAGATTTCGAGAATCAAAACTGACGACTAAATGCGAACACCAAATGGCTAACATCCTCAGAGAAGCTGCGTTAAATTATCATTTAAATCCATTATTAGCGACAATGTGCGCGCACGAGGTAAAAAAACACAGCATTATCATTTACAAATTATTCCAAGAAAATTTTAAGATTTGTCAATGTCCAATAATAATTTAATCACTATACAAGATTTTATTATTATAGAATCTAATTTCAATTAAGCTTACGAAATGTGTTTCCACTAGATTGAAACTATATGCCGGTCGGATGAAAACGAGCCTGGTGCTGTCGAAGAGTGTCTTAAGAGAAAATTCAATGCCGGCAATCGAGATATGAGAGAAGAATGTCGTATGGAAGTTGCAGATCTTATAGAACAAACCAAAGCTGATATTAACGTAGATCCCTTATTGCAGAAAGCTTGTGCCGTGGATGTTAGCAAATACTGCAGTGCCGTATCTCAAGGCGCGGGAAGACGTAAATAATATTTCTTTTAATAATCATATTTCTTTTAATAACCGTTTCTTAATAATCATAGATTAAAAAATAATTTGATAAGAAATGAGTGGAACCTTTCCAAATTGAAATTTTAGATTGATTTTTACATATCTGTTATACGTCAAATATATAACAGAGAAAGCAATTGTTAGTAATTTAAGTAACAATTGTATTACAGATATAATGTGCTTGCAAAATGCCTTGGAAGATAGCAATAAATCTTTGCAGCCTGATTGCTACAAGATGTTAACTACGAGGATGGAGATGTTTAAAAATGCTGCCAAGGTCTGTAAAAAGTGCATCATTTGCACCTCACTTTATTCATTTATTTTTTTATCGTGCAGCCTGAAATAATCACATTTTATTTATCACATTACAGTTGATCGCACCAAACTCATTCGAAGAATTATACTCGACAGTAAATCGTTCTCCGGCGCGACGTTATTTCATGATCGTCGCTTTTACCATGATCGGAGTGATCTTTATCGTCGGCATGTTCTGCGGCCGAGTGACGAGGCGGACGATGATGATGAAGAACAAGTGACGCAGTCGGGGTCCGTCCACTAGTGAAATGACTTTCGTGAGATTAGTCGAAGGATTGTAATAAACTATGAACACGTGCGCGTCGATGGTGTGGTCAATGACGCAAAGTGTAAGTTCACGATAAAAAAGGAAACAGTCGATCTTTTTATACCTTCGTTTACGAAGTTTTTAAAGTGCAGATCTTTGTATTAATAATTGAAAAAGCTGCAAGATTTTTTATGTGGCTGTTATGTGCACACAATATTATGCAAAACGAACAGTGTAAACGTTTAAGTATTCGAAAATTTAAAGTAAGGAAATTTAAATATTTAGACATATACTATACGTTATTGCAATATTATGATTCCGATACGTTATGATAACATATAAGATGTCTATAGAATTCTATAGAATTTGCAAGTTTCAAGAGCTCATTCCTGTATACTCATCAAGAAGAACTCTTTTGAGGTTGTTACAAAAATAATGAAAAAGCTGTATTATTGATATTTATATTATTGACATATTATATTATTGACATTTATATTCCATAAAGAGACTACTATGAGAAAAAAATATTATTTCCGAGTAGAGAACTGAGGAAATAATCTAGAATTTCTAATGATTTTTTTTTTAAAGCAATACGTTTCTTTAAAGCAAGATATTATCTTATCTTTACCTGCGAGAAATTTGTTCGGAAGTACGGAATAAAAAAGCAGTAAAATAAAACAACCAGCGAATTCATTCGCCTTCGTTCGAATGCAACCGAGATGTCAAAGGTTCCGGGAAATATACCGGCCTCCCATGAGACGAGTGTGTATGTGTGTACGTGTCGTTGTCTGGAAGTCGGCCCTGATTTAGAAGCTCGTACGTGAGGATCATAAGTGGAGAAAATACAAGCACCTAGTTATTCGAAGTGTCTGGTGTTTCGGCTCTTTCTCCCCCCCCCCCCTCTCA